TTTTTTCTCTTTTCTTTCAGCAGTAGGTCATCTAAGCTGCTGCTTTGTTGTAATTTGCTCCGTACAATAAAGCGATCCATTGTCCCACTCACGGCTTTCTCCTTTTAAATGTTATCATCCACAACACTGGCTGCTAATCAGGGCTTTTGATGTGTCACACATTTATAATTCCCACACGTAAATGGCGACAAATAGGTTCCCCGTGAAGGTTTTTTTTTTAATTAAATTAAATTAAATTACATTTTTTGGCTAGAGTTTGCCTTGCCTTTGTGTTATTGGGAAATGGGTGTGCACAACATACTGACACAGTCAAATAAAAATTCATTCATAACTTTTTGTATAGGCGCAGTTGAATATTTCAGTAATAGTGTGTGGTTATCAGAAAAGCCCACAGCACACCTGGATTGAGAAACAGTGGTCGACAGCACTATACACAGAATACAGCTAATGGTGATGGGAATGTCATCAGTTGTGCTGGTATTTGATCATAAACCAAAGGGAAGGGAAGGCTATCGCTGGAGACGTAAGGCATCTGCTATTCAATCAATATGACCTTATGAGATCGGGAAGACGGTTTACTGTACCTAGGCTACAAGCCCGAGAGCAGAGGTTGTTTGTCCCCACTAGTATTGTGCTCCTGAACATGCACCTCAGCTCTGCGTGTAAATGTAATTTCTGTTTATTCATCAAATCAGTATTTTAATAGGACTCACCTAAACAACCCTACTGTGTTCATGATGCTTGATGATATGTGTTGCTTTTTGTTTGTATTGTATTGTGTTGTGTTGGTGCTCCTGATGACTATGGGACGCAAGTCAAATTTCCCCATTGGGGACAAATAAACTATCTATCTATCTATCTATCTATCTATCTATCTATCTATCTATCTATCTATCTATCCATCCATCCATCCATCCATCCATCCATCCATGTCCATTCATGTCTCTATCTGGCCGATGACTGGCTGACTGAACTTGCTGCTGCTCCGTCGCATCCACTGAGCACAGAGTCCAGAGAGCCACATTAGTGCACGTTCAACTGAGGAGTTGAGATCTGTCCAAAAAGCTGCGAGCTGTTTTTCAGCTCATGTTGGTACAGTGGATTTGACTCTCTAAGGACCATGAATGTGCAGACTTTCATGGCAGTCTATCAAATAGTTGTTGAGATATTTCAGTCTGGACCAAAGTGGTGGACCAACACACTGGTACTGCCATCCCTAGAGCTGTGCCACTAGCATTGATAAAATGAAATAGAATCAAACAAGGACCCTCGTTTTCGAGACATGCCAGGTCTCTGCAGTATGGATGTGGGTGAAACTCCAATGTTAGTCTTTGTTGTTAACTACTTATAAATAAAACAATCTGTATGGGGGCAAGTACAAACTGACTTCAGTGAGTAGATTTCTGACCCACTTGCCTGACAAGACGTTAATGCTGAACCCTGCATACTATAAACAAGAGTGACACAACCTTTACACTAATATGAGATCACTTGCACATCTGAGTATACTGTAAGCTGTAGGCTCTTGGGGCCCCTGTGCGCCCACGTTAACTGATGTGAGCGTCCCGTAACATATTCTCTATTAATGTAGGGGATTGTTGATCTGCTTATTGCTGGTGGCAGTAAGCGTCAGGGGGCCTATAGCACAGCTTTGCCCTGAGGCCAACCCACGGGTTCATGCCAGCATACTTCATATAATATTTCAGAAGGAGGCACTTCACATTTAAAGTCAGGGTGGTGGTCAGAGGGATGTAGATTACTACACAAAGCGGTCTGCAGTTGTGTGTGTGTGTGAGTGCGTATATGTGTGTGTAAAGGGCCTGGGGGAGTGTTGAGTGCAAGGGGAGTGGGGGGATAACAACCCTGCAAATTACAACCTTCTTCAATTTTCCACATCAAGGCCTTTCTGGAGAGAGAAAGTTGCAGAATTGGAGAGAAGCTCTGAAATCCCAAATTGACCCGAGTCAGAAGTGCCCTTGAGAGTGAACTAACCCGAAAAGCAAAACAAACAAAGCTTTCTGTATCTTCAGAGTGTACTTTCTCTGGGCCACAAATTATTAAATCAAGTTTATTACATTCGTCCTGCTGAGTTTAACTGTCCTCTATGACTCCCTCCTTGTTTCAGCGTGGACTGGTTTAATGTCAGACGCCGACTGAGGTGCAGGGGAGGATAAGTCATTAGTCGAGTCTGTGAGACAGGAAGCATCAGCGTCATTAGCAGTCATTAGTTTGCAGACAGCGGGTCACGTCGCCACCACACGCTGCCGCTCTCCATCGTTCACACATACAGTATGATGGACTGACTCAGGAGGGACACCACGCCTACATCCTGCTGCTGCCATGTCTCATGTGTGTGACGACTGAAGCAGTGTCCTGTGCGAGTGTGTGTCTGCGTGTGATCTGGACAGAGAACATACATGCAATCATTTATTTTGCTTCTTTTAATGCCATCTCTGCTCGCCTCAGATGAGACACTCTCCCTGTCGCCTCGTGCTCGGAGCTGGAGCGAGGCTTATAGCGCTAAACAAATTGACAATTATCATGCCAATCTTCGCCTCATTGGCTTCCAGCAGAGTTTAGAATAGACTTTAAAATGCTGCTGATTATTTTCAAAGCATCAGGGTTTAACCATTCCCTGTGTATCCAGAGAGAGGCATTATCAGTCAAAACCCAAGGATTCAAATTAAAATTTACTGCACTGTTGCAATTACGGTCCATATTGTTTGGAGCCGACCGCCTGAAGACATTATTAGACTTGCAGGCCATTTCTCATAACCTCTTTTAAAAATCAATTTCAGCCTGTATTTGATATTTATGGCTGTCTAGTGTTATTAGATTAATTTACTCTAATTCATTTATCATCAGGGATACAAAACTCTTATGGTTCCTAATGAATTAGCTGGAGAATGAACGACAGAATGGAGGTTAGGTGAATGCACACAAGAGGTTTAAATATATTGTTTGGATTTGCATAGATAATGTGATCTGAATCCAGATTTCAGCAGTAATATTCTCCCCCTACCCTGACCTGTAAACTGAAAACATGAGGTTACATTTAGGCACAAACAAAACCCCTCGGTTATGGCTAAAAAAAAAATCTTGCCGTAGCTTAAATATCTGATTTTGGAAGTCCGATCCCCCCTGGAAAACCAGAAATGTGAAAAACAACCGCTTTTTGTGGCACTATACAGACAGGAAACAGAGTGATAACGCAGCTGGAAATGCAGCAATGTATGAGTTAAAAACAACTGCTTCTCATGGTGCTATCCCTGCTGCTACAAAACATCCACATCTGGAGGCTATAAAGCCACAATGACAACTACAACCAGTGTTGTTGTGTGTTGGTCTTGAACAGTGCTCTGCAGCTTAGCATGTGTCCTGCCCAGGTGATACACTCTACACCATGCCCTCCACTTCAACAGAGTCACTTAAGAAACGATTACACTCACCAGCCACTTTATTAGGTACACCTTGCTAGTACTGGGTCTAATTCTTGGTGGCATAGATTCAAGGAGCTGGAAACATTCCTCAGAGATTTTGGTCCATATTAACATGATAGCATCACACAGTTGCTGCAGATTTGTCGGCTGCACATCCATGATGTGAATCTCCCGTTCCACCACATCCCAAAGGTGCTCTATTGGATTGAGATGTGGTGACTGTGGAGGCCATTGGAGTACAGTGAACTGTCATGTTCAAGAAACCAGTTTGAGATAATGTGAGCTTTGTGACATGGTGCGTTATCCTGATGGAAGTAGCCATCAGAAGATGGGTACAGTGTGGTCATAAAGGGATGGACACAGTCAGCAACAATACTCAGGTAGGCTGTGGTGTTTAAACCATGCTCAGTTGGTACTAAGAGGCCAAAAGTGTGTGTGTAAACTGTCTGTGTGTGAAAATCCTAGAAAATACTCAGACCAGCCACAACCACACCACGTTCAAAGTCACTTAAATCACCTTTCTCTCTCATTCTGATGCTCAGTTTGAACTTCAGCAGGTCGTCTTGACCATATCTGCATGCCTAAATGGATTGAGTTGCTACCACGTGATTGGCTGATTAGCTATATGTGTTAACAAGCAATTGCACAGGTGTACCTAATAAAGTGGCTGGTGAGTGTGTCTGTTATGTGTGAAACATGCAAACGTAAGGTGTTTGTCGTTTGCAGAAACAGACAATGCCAACATTTTCTTCTGGCGACTGGGCTGCACCTGAGTGACACAATTTCGGGGACCTAACAGCACTTCCTCTCAGAGTCATTACTCAGTCAAATCTGAACACACAGATATCACTGACATCCTGCTACAATCATTCACTCTGTACTACTGTCCATCAAGGATATCTCATATGTCCATAGTTATTAAGAAATCAAGCATTCCTTGTAACTTCACATCATGTCTCATAATCCTCAAATTCTGTCTTATTCTTCCATTTTTCAGTACTCCAGGTCATTTTTGTCAGCGCAGTGTGAACAGGAACTGTTGTGGCCAAAGCAGCGGGACTTTTCATGACGCATATGTGACAGAATGTAAACCAATAAGCTAAAAACACAGATGTGAAGATAGTTTTAATATTCAGTCATTTGACGTAGTTCATCCTTAATAATGTTTCATCAGACTGGCTGTGCAGCGCAGCACGAGGCTCAATTGATGTTGCAGGTTATTTTTACTACATGATCCTCACGAGGCTCAGCACTTTCATTGACACTTCAAACAAACTTTATTTTCTTCTGGGACACCTCCTCTTCAATTGTGAAAGAATATCATGGAATATGGCCCAGTGTTGTTCTTGTATTGTAACGCCCTGTTCTGTTTCTATTACTGATTTTCACTTGGAAAATGTAACTGGCAGCTTCTGTTTAGACTCAGTTTGGACTTCTTTGGTTCGAATACACAAAGATCTGAGCACTACTGCCAAATACAGATGTTTTTGTGACATAAAAAGACACAGACAGTAGCTCTGTGTTACACACCTGGTGCACACATCCCAGACAGTTACTTACACTGGTTGCGTGTGTGAGCCCTCTCTGGTGATAACGCCCTCCTTGTCCATCAGCATTTGTCTGAACGTGCTCACTTTCTGTCGAATTTCTTCTTCTGTGTACCTGAGGTTGGACACAAAGACACAACGGTTAGTAGATGTGCACACACACACACACACACACACACACACACACACACACACACACACACACACACACACAGACAGGAGCAGTGCATACCTTTTCTGCATCAATGTATGGTGTAAATGAGAATAAAAGTCAGAATAAAAGTCCTCTGCTACCTTAATGTTACTGGGAAGGACAAATGCACATGTTCTAAATATTGAAAGGGACGTATCCCCTGCACCCCCGCTGAAATCTACACCTGCGCACACACACTCATCAATGCGATGCAAGTTTGTATCAGTACTGCAGCTTTGACTATTTGGCTGAGCAGTGAGCAGACAGGAATGAAAGTGAATGATGAACATATTTCAACCTGAAGCAGCAGCGTTGAATGCAGCATGGTTACTGGCAAAGCTAACTGTCATCTGTCATAACTGCCAGATGTCCGTGTAGGAGCCATGTCATCCACAGCTATCACACAGAGTCCAACAAATGGCAAAGAGCAGTGCTCTGACCGTTTCCTAACCAAAAATGACACGCGGCCCGAATGATGTATATTCTGATGACTCACTGTCAACCTCTGCTGACCCTGGCGGGCTCCCTGTTCAGGCCCGGGCTGCGTGTCATGTTTTATTCTGTAAGCAAAGCGCTGAGTTGAGAGTAACTGTGGGGCAGTGAGAGGAGCTTTCAGCAGGCTGACAGAGAGAATACTGAAGACTTCTGCAGCGAGACATTACAGCCTGTGCCTCACTGTAGATGTCGGTTTATGTTTTCTAATTGAGAATGTCTGGCTTTTTAAAATTCTGATACATTGCGTCTATCATTGGATGCAACAGAAGAGCATTAAAGTAATCAGTTATACTTTAAAGGGTAATTCTGGTAATTTTCTGTGTCTAAATTACTACTGGGAACAACAAATTAGCGGCCGCGAAACCAGTGGCAATGTGATCCCTGCAGGCCATTGAACTAGGTAATTGTAGATTGATGGTGTGAACATGCCGTGAGTGGCAGCCTGTGACGCTCAATACTGGAGGAATTTCAAAAATTGCTGTTCCCATTAATCACAAAAAACAAAGTTACCCTTTGTGATTTTATTTGGTGAAGTAGATAATGAACGCATTAAACTCTCCTTAAATATTCCATGCGACAGCTTTGGGCTCTATCCTCCCAGTTTGTAATAGCACAAGTAAGAGTCTGACCACGGGGCTGCAACTGTAAGACTGTATCCGCTGACAGCTCTGCAAGGGGGGCAGCAGTAATTCAACCAGGCTGAACAACCTCGACAGCGACAATGAAGCAACTTCTGTCCTGTGCCATTCTGCAGACTCTCATAGGGGACTTATGTCTGAGAACTTGACAGCGCATGGCCTCTTTAATGCACTGTACACCGAGCTGATCTCCTGGTGCATTCACACCATCTCCACATTCTGCTCGGGCTGTGGTAATGGGATGTAATGAGCTACAGAGGTAGAGAAACATGAAGGGAGAGGAGAGGACGGAGGAAGGAGGGGGGGGCGAGAATTAATAAAGCCGTCAAAGTGTAGCCAGGAGCCAGACACAGACTGACTGGAAGCCTCAGCCATTAATAATATACTGTAGTGTTCATATTAAGTATAACAAGAGCATATGTGAGGGGTGGCTGGGATAAAGCAGTGTGCTCAGATAAAGATTCAATAATTATACACAATTAAAAATGAGTATGAGTAAGTGATAACATCTGAAATGTGAGCGCCACTTGTAATGATGAAAGTATTGAGGAACTGTCTATCACTTCGTGCTGAAACAAACACTCATACTTGACAACAATTTCTCTTTGTCACTCTTACAGCAACATTTTGAGGAACATGCTTATTCGCTCTTTTGCAGAGAAAAATACTGTCGGATGAAACCTGATCAACATGCTCAGCAGTTGGAGCAGCAGAAGTGATTGTGACACAGCTCATGGAGACAACTGTGCGTTGCCAGTATTCCAGAAAAAAGATTTAATATTTCTCAAAATATAGTATGTCAAATGCAGTATGTCAAAAATACCAGGATGTTCTACTACATCTCTATTCCTCTTAATATGTTTGTGGAATTTTTTTTAATCCATTAATCCAATTTTTTTTAATCCATTCATTCATTTTTTTTAATCCATTCATTCATTCCCCACCAGTGAGTACCACCAGTTGGTCCAGGAGCTTCACCTCGATGATGGCCATTTCCAGGCATGTTTTAGGATGACTCTAGGGCAGTTTGTCTATCGTCTGGCTGTATAGCTCTGGGTATCCAGCAACCGCTACCACCAGTTTCTCCTCCATTGTTTACCAACTGTAAACTTGGGCGCTTGTGCTTTTCTGCTCTGAGTTCAGAGCGCCCCAGCAAAAATGCCAGATGCCTAGAGTGCAGAAAATCGGGGCGTGTCGCAACACAAAAAATGCACAAAGACAAAGCTTCATTCTCAATAAAAAATTTTACACAAAGCCAACTCCAACTGCTAAAACATTTCCTGTGTGATCAGGGCCTAAACATAGCTTAAAAGACCTGACCAGCAGTATGAATATTAGCCTCAGACCCAGAATACACAAAGCTCCTCAGGCCATCTGACAAGTGAGCTCCACTTGCAATCAGCAGGAGTGCAGAAGGGAACTGTCCATCACTCAGTGCTGAAACATGTACTCCTACTTGGCAACAGATTCCTTTCCCTTCTCTGAGCTGGGGCTCAAGGCAGGACCAGTTCTATACACCGGATTGTATATTAACCAGTGGCTCATCACAGTGTGGAAATGGCATTAACTGAGAAGTGTTAGCTTTTCCAAGATTAAATATAGCAGCCGATACCTTGTATTCAGAGTTTGGTGCTCTCAGCACATTGGCAGTGTGGAGAATGAGATTAGGAGAAGTGCGATGGAGAGCTGAAATAGCTGGAAGATGGCCCAGCAGACAAGAAGCCAGCCGGTGTGACAGCACCATCGGGTCCCGCTGTACGGCAATCTCTCAGCCCAGCAGGTGTCAACTCAGCACAAAGGAGGCCACAAACACACACTTTATATTCATGGCTTTCCATGCACATGGCCGTACGTTAGCTGCGTCCCAATGACTCTACAGCAGTCCCCTCCTGCTCTCAGCTGTCGTTTATCGAGGAAGGGTGTACAATAGGTAGAGGGGTGAGAAGGCTCTGAAAGGATACTGGCTGAATGGGCAAACAGACGCCATGGCTGTGGGGCTTTCTCCTTCCCATTGTGCTGATGATGGTGAGGATGTTAGCGCCTGCAGCTATCTTTGTTGACTCCAGCTCAAGCAAGAAAAGAGGAGTCAGAGCTTGTGAAGCTGAAGCATCTGCTGACATATGACCTATAATGTCTATATTCTCTTACTGTCCTCCATTGAATTGCTCCATTCTGAAGTTTTGCACAGCTCCGCAGCATGAAGCAGCAAAGTTGGGTTCCTTTTGATCGGTCTCGCTCATTAACCAAAGCCAGAGATTGTATGCCCGGCAGTGGTGCTGCTTCGACAAAGAGAGGTATGAGCCAGAAGAATCCCCCACAGCACCTGAGTGCCTGCAGGAGCCTGGCGAATGGTGGGCAGATTTACCTACAGCGATGAAAATCTGAAAAGAAGCCTGAGAGAAGAAATCTAAAAGCTTTCTCTTACCTGATTGCCAAACTTTTAAGTTGCATTCAAGAGGAGCTCTGCAAAAGTGGGCTCTGAATCAATCTGTGTAAATGGCCACATACTGGATGTTTGTCAGTGGATATTAGGATGAGCACACTGAAACAACACCTCTCTCCTCTGCACATTTAATTAGCACTTCTTGCAGCTGTAAAGGTAGCTGCTTTCTGCATAACATACCATCTGTTCTGCCCTGACACAGTGCAGAGGAGGGGGAGATGGAGCGGTCACTCTCAGCCAGACTGGGTAACACTGAATTCAAATTAAAATTAATGTTGAACTGAGCACAGCACCTGCAGTCCAGTCGCCAGTTTCTGCAAAGCACGAATATGCTTGTCTATATCTATAGGTTTCATACATATTTTATCAACGTTTTAAATGAGCCGGGATGTGGAGGGGATGGTGGACAACGTGTCACTTAGGCGAGAATCCTGTCAAGCTGTAGACCACTGTTCAAGACCAACAAACCACAAAACCGGTTGTTTTACAGAGTCATCACTGTGTTTCCAGCGGCTGTTCTTGTTGCTCTTTTTCGCGCAGCTTTTTAGCCTCTAAACATGGATGTTTTTTTAGCAACCCGTTGTGTTTTTCCAGCTGCGGTTGCTTTTTTTTTACCCAGACATCACTGCATTTCCTGCAGGGATAGAGCCACAAAAAATGGTTGCTTTGTGGAAGACATCGCTGTGTTTTCTTCAGGACAGTGTCATAAAGATCAGTTGTTTTGTCACTGCATTTCCTGCAAGGATAGTGCCCTCAAACCTGGGCACTCTAAGCCAACACATGATCCTTTTTGTGAGTGTGGTGTGGTTTTTTGTGCCTTGACATAACCACGTACCACAGCATTCTTCAAACATTAAGTTTCAAAGTATCTACTACATAATAATGTGCAAATGTCACATATCCTTTGTTTGCAGAAATGTACAACGCCAACATTTACTCTGGCGACTGGGTTGGCACCTGTGTGTTTTCATTTGTGTATGAGTGTATGAGATGTTAGTTAGATGTTAGTCAAGTGGATCCAAATGAAAGCCATTTAGCCCAGACCCACTGCCTACAGCATGCGGAGTTGCAGTGATTTGGGCGGAGAGAGAGACAGGGGACATCGATCAGAGCGAGGGGCTCCCCGCCACCCTGCCCATGAAAAATCACCACGATTAAAGAACTTGATTGGAGTAATTAGACAGCTCCGAGCACCCACAGATTCCCCCCATTAACTCACAATCCTGCAAAATGAATAGTTGTGGCCCAGAGACCATCCTTACGCTGATAGTCATCGATTTGATGAGGACGTGTCTACGTGCGGGGTGTGTGTGTGTGCGCTCCTTCTGACTGCCAGTGATGTTTCT